GCAAAAAGAAAAAAGCCAGAAGTGGCACTATGGCTCAAGTGGTAGAGCGCTAGCTTTGAGCTGGGACAGCGCCCAGGCTCAGAGTTCAGGCCCCAAAACCGGACCCCCATAAAAAAAAAAAAAAAGAACAGGAGAGTAAGGCATTCCTTCTGCGTAGCATCTGTGGTGATGTGCTTAGTTTATGGAACCAGTCTCACACTTAAGATGTCAGGAAGGACATCTTAAATCACTTTATGTGTCCAAGATCCAAGACTACAACCAATTAAAACCATGTGCTCTCCACTCAGTTACTAAGCCAACTGCTATCTACACTGATGCACTGCAAGATACATCCCACCCTTCCAATAGCAAGATATGATCAGTGATAGGCAGGGGCCTAGCCCAGGACCTTCCAGGAAGATGCCTGTTTTCTACAAGCTGGAAGCAAGCAGTCAGCTACTCTGCCTTGCCTTTCACTAGCTTCAGTGACAATAGTGTTGAATAAGCACAGCTGAGCCATGGAGACCTTCTGTCCCAGGATGGTACTGGGACAGAGGAGTAGAGACAAGCATGGGCTTTGATAACCCCCCAGGTTACCATATGAATGTTGTGAGATACATACACCAGGTTCCTAGCTCATCCCAGATACTCTTCTGAGTTTTGTTTCTGTCCTTTACAACAGAACTTAATCCTAACCCAATAATCTGGCCAAATCTCTCTGTCAACTTCCAAATAACAATCGATACATACCAAAATGTCAAACTTCCAAAATCTAGACTTTATACTTTATAATGAAGCAAATCAAGCCAGAGCACTACTGAGACTGCAGGCTTTTCCTGGCATCTGGCATATTACACAATGTTAGAAAATTACTGCTGCATGTCCATGTCCCACACCTGTATTTCTAGCAACTCAGGAGCCTGAGATCTGAGGATTGCAGTTTGATGCCAGGCCAAGTAGGAAAGTCCATGAGACTCTTATCTCCAATTAACCACCCGAAAAACCAGAAGTGGACACTATAGCTCAAAGCGGCAGAGCATTGGCCTTGAGCAAAATAGCTCAGGGACAGACAGGGGCCAGGCCCTCAGTTCAAGCCCTATGATCTACAAAATAATAATAGTAGGAGTAGTAATAATAAAACAAAAAAAATACTGCAGCTGCAACCCTTTTCCTGCTCCCTCTCTCTGTTCCTACAACCAGGGCCAGTCCTAAAGACTTCTGCCACAACTGATACAGGTTTACAACCAGGTAAAAGGCTGGTGGTCATACGCTGTACCCACTCAACACTGGTGGTCACTCCTGTGGTCCTACTCTGAGTTAGGAATCAACACCTAAATGTCACAGGAGATGGTTCCTGAAAAATCATAGACTGGCAAACCTAGGGGTGATGGGCAGTGAGCACATGTGACCACAAGAGACAGGTCCACACCAATACCCCAGAGTCACCATTCAAGGACAGAAAAGCTGAGCCCTGTGCCATTTGAGGACAGGGTCCTAACCTCTTCAAATGTACCTGGATTTCAAGAAACAGACACTGCCATACTGCTCAAGAAAATCTTCCAATGGGCTGGGAAGGGGGCTCAGTGGTAGAGCACTTGCCTTGCATGCCTGAGGCCCTGGCTTCAATTCCTCAGCACCACATAAGAAAAAAGCCAGAAGTGGCGCAGTGGCTCAAGTGGTAGAGAGCTAGCCTTGAGCTGAAGAGCTGAGGGACAGCGCCCAGGCCCAGAGTTCAGGCCCAACAACCGGACCAAAAAAAAAGAAAATCTTCCAAGTCCTCTAGAGATATAAAAAAATACTACAAAGTTGTTAGGAACCGGTCATTTTCATCTATAATCCTAGCAACTCAGGAAGCTGAGATCTGAGGTACATGGTTCAAAGCCAGCCTGGGCAGGAAAGTCCATGAGACTCTTATCTTCAACTAACCAGCCAAATGCCAAAAATGGAGATGTGGTTCAAATGATAGTTTTATCCTTGAGTGTAAAACCTGAGAGACAGCGCCCAGGCCTTGAGTTTAAATCCCTGGATCAGCATAAAAATTTTAAAAAAAAATTTTTTAAACCTACAAAGTCACTGGGACAATTACAAAGGTTAACATTTCCCACAGATTTAAAATAACAATACTGCTACAGCAAAAGTCACCACAACTTTATAGTCTAAGGGCATCGATGCACGTTATGCTTTGTTATTTCAAGAGCCCTAAAGAGTAAAGGCCAGCTCCATGAGGATGGGGCACAGACCTTCATCATCAGTCAAAGAGGTGCTAGCTTTTCTTTTTCTTCCAGATATTCCTGGATCCTGAAACAGAATAAAAATCACAAACATAAGATTTAAAGTCCCAGAATGGGATGTCAAGACTAAAACATCTATTTAGTACATATTCAAAGAAACAGGGGATCCACGATATGCTTCCTTAACTTCAATCCTTGGCAAAGACACCCAGAGAAAAGAGGGATCCACAACTTGAGATGTGGATGTGTAATCACTATTTAGCTGCATCCTCCCAAATCGCCAAATCCACACCTCAAGTGAGACTATGAGCTGTGAGGTGACAGTGCTTCAAAGCAGACTGATTTAGAATAAAATACATAAATATGTATAGGTTATATTGATAACCCACATATTTCTTTTTTTTTTTCTTTTTTTTTTTTGGTCGGTCGTGGGGCTTGAACTCTGGGCCTGGGCGCTGTCCCTCAGCTCTTCAGCTCAAGGCGAGCGCTCTACCACCTGAGCAACAGCGCCACTTCCGGTTTTCTGGTGGTTTATTGGAGATAGGAGTCTCACGGTCTCTCCTGCCCGGGCTGGCCTTGAACCGCGATCCTCAGATCTCAGCCTCCTAAGTAGCTAGGATTACAGGCGTGAGCCACCAGCGCCCGGCTTGATAACCCACATATTTCTTCAGGTAAAAACAACCCCACTGCATTAGAACACTGCATCTTACTCACTTTGCTTCCATTCTTTGTGACAGATGTAAGAATCTTGAACTTACCAGAAAGTGTTCAGGTAACACATCCAATCCCTTGGGCCTCAACTCTTTTCCTAGAGACAAGAAACATGATTAGTTTTCACTGCAGCTGAGGGGAAATCAGGCATTTCAATCAATGAATGCCTCTGCCCATGCCAACTGTACCCTGTGGCTGCCATGTTCAAGAAAGGGTCCATATGCTAGCTCCAGTCCACCTCCTCCTTTCTGATGACCCATCCCACAGTTCTATGACTTTTAGCAGGGGTCACTTCCCAGCCAGTTTACTCATCAATAATTTATAATGCATCATGCAACTCTCCACCCCCTAACGTGGGACATCTTCAGATGGTAAGATAGTGGACCCTCCTTTGTAGATACCTAGGATTGATGACTGAAGGAAGCTGCCACAGAAATATTAGGGGGAAAAAAAAGAGCATACAGAGGCTATACCAACCAATCCCAAAGGAACCTACAACTAAGAGCTGCCTCTCTTGCTGTCTAAAGACTGACTGACTGCAGGTAATCTGTACTCTGTCCCAGAATAGACAGACATGAGCTTGCTGACTCACACTAGCACATGGGAAAAGAACTGAGATTTAAAACAAAACAAAACATAAAAACCTACATTGGCTACACAAAGAAAAATGCAACAATCAAGCAGACCAGGCCTTTCCCAATGGGCTCCCTGAGCAAATGGCCTCCCCAGCATGGTCACAAGAAGCCAATACAAAAAGAAGCTGCCTGTTGAGCAGAGAGTCTGAACAAAGTGTAATCTAAAAATGTTAGGGGTTTTTGTTTTGTTTTGGTGCTAGAAAGTGAAGGAGGAGGCATGGACCCTACCACCACACTGTGCGCTGATCCCCTGCCAAGGATCGTTTTTTTTTTGCCGGTCATGGGGCCTGAACTCTGGGCCTGGGCGCTGTCCCTCAGCTCTTCAGCTCAAGGCTAGTGCTCTACCACTGGAGCCACAGCGTCACTTCCGGCTTTTTCTGTTTATGTGGTGCTGAGGAATCGAACCCAGGGCCTCATGCTTGCAAGACATGCACTCTACCGCTGAGCTACCTTCCCAGCCCCTGCCAAGGATCTTTTAAAATAATCATACCTCTTCTGAACACTTTCTGTAAACTTAAGGCTTTTTTCCTTTTCTCTTCTAATTCCACTTGCAGTTTTATTTCCACAACCTAAATACAAAGAATTAAGTATTAAACATGTAAGAAAGGAAAAAAAAACATGTAAGTCATACAAGTTCCATATGTAAAACATTAGAACTCAACACATAGCATATAAAATACTATTCAACATCATTTCACATTAATTCAAAAACAAAATTTTAATTTGTTGCTTCTCTCTCTGTCTCTCTTTCTCTGTCTCTGTTTCTGTCTGTCTGTCTCTCTCTCTCTCTTTTTGGTGCCAGTCCAAGGGCTTTTTAATTCAGAGCCTAGATGCTGTCCATGGTGGCTCACACATGTAATCCTAGCAACTCAGGAGGCTGAGATCTGAGGATTTCAAAGTCAGATTGGAGATCTCAACTGGCTTAAAACCAGCTCAGGCAGGAAAGGCCATGAGACTGATTTCCAATTAACTAGCAAAAAGCCAAAAGTGGAGCTATGACTCAAGTGGTACAGCATTAGCAGTAGCAAAAAAGCTCAGGCACAGCACACAGGCCCTGAATTCAAGCACACAAAAAACGGTTAGGATGAGCCATTCTTGCCTTTGTGTTTCTCTTTGTGTCTAGAAACAAGGTCCAGTTGCAACTGTAGCTTTGAGATGAGAAAACTATGGCAAATCTTCTCCAGGTAATTCTTGGTGTGAATGGCTTTGAAAGCAGTTTTCCTTGGGATGGCTGCTTGCTAGCATGCTAGTACACACACATTCTTGCTCCCTTTATTTTTCTGGTCAGTTGTGGGGCTTGAACTCTGGGCCTGGGCACTGTCCCTCAGGCTCTTCAGCTCAAGGCTAGCGCTCTACCACTTGAGCCACAGTGCCACTTCCAGATTTTTCTGCTTATATGGTGCTGAGGAGTTGAACCCAGGGCCTCATGCATGCGAGGCAAGCACTCTACCACTTAGCCACCATCCTAGCCCTCTTGCTCCCTTTATTAAAAGCTTTTTTAAAAAAATTAATCTTACGACCAAATAGAATTTGTTTGTTTGTTTTTGGGTCCAGTTGTTGGGCCTGAACTCTGGGCCTGGACACTGTCCCTCAGCTCTTCAGCTCAAGGCTAGCGCTCTACCATTTGAGCCACAGCGCCACTTCCGGGTTTTTTCTTTTTGCTTATGTGGTGCTGAGGAATCGAACCCAGGGCCTCAGGCATGCAAGGCAAGCTCTCTACCACTGAGCCACCTTCCCAGCCCCGACCAAATAGAATTTGGGCAAGATATAGTTAGATACACAAATAAATGGAGAAGCCAGGTGCTGATGGCTCACACCTGTATATGGCTCAAACAACAAGAGGCAAGTAGGCAAGAGTTCTCACACCTTACATTTCCTAAGGGCAGTATCTTCTCTTGCTATCAAGGTTCTGTCCAGAGGCACTCAGAATCCCAGCTCAGACCCACTCTGATTTTAATGATCCCACTGAAATTCCACAATTTACCTGCTCAATGTTTGACCAAAAATATTCTATTTCTCGGGCAGTTGAGGCAGCAATACGTCTTAATCTGTTCTGTTCTTCTTTCTTCCCTCTTTCTTCACGAAGCTTCTTTTCCTCATGATGACGTGCTACTGTTCTAACGAGCTAGTAAAGGAAAGTTTAAGAATTTTATGTTGTACTCTACGTCTTGCCAGGAGATGTAAATTTTAAGGCAGGTTCAAGTCACGTATGAGGCAGGTGAAGTGGCACAATCCTAATTCCAGGCCTTGGGAGACTGAGGCAGGAGTACCCCAAGTTGAAGGCCAGATAGAGCTACATATAAAAACTCTGCCAATCAAACAATAAAGCAAGCACAGTCAATTTAATATCAGAAACTTCCTCCTACTCTCTTTAGGTGTACTAGAACAAACAGTGGTACAAACAAAAACCATCATCTTTTGATGTCTAATTTTTCTAGAAAGCATTGTTCTACTAATTAGACACATTTTTCTCACATATATATTACACTGCATTACATTTTTTTTCCAGTTTCACATGTGACCTTACTCAACACAGATCAGCAGCAAGTTTAATAGGTCAGAGTATTTTACTGCATTAAAGCAGCAAAACTTACTAAGTTTTGTTGGACTGGGGTGTTCACTTTTTTTGTGTGCTGGTCCTGGGACTTTAACTCAGGCCTTATGCAATGTCCTTGAGGTTTTCTGTGCTCAAAGCTAGCATTCTACCACTTGAGCCACAGATCACAGATCTAAATCTCAACTACCACCACCAATGGACACAGCACAGTGCTGTGACAAATCTACCTTCTTAGCAGCAGCCAGCTTCCATCTCCGCTCTTGAGCAAAGTCTGTAGCCATCCACTGCATCTCCTCTAGCAGGTAGTCCCAGTGAGATTTAGGGCGTGGGGCCTCCTGCAATTTTGGCAGTCGCCTTAAGGACCACAATCCTTCTTTCCTTAAATCTGCTATTCGTTGATGGACCTGGTTTTCCTGTAAGAAACATACCACCAGGGTGGGAGGAAAGTCAGCATATTATTATTGTTCCTATAATTAATAACCCAATTTGTGTGTGTGCGTGTGCACGTGTGCGTGCCAGTATTGGGGTTTGAACTAAGGGCCACTTGCTTTCACTAGGCTTTTTCACTTAAGGCCGGTGCTTTATCACTTAAGCCACATCTCTATTCCCAAATTTTTGCTGGTTAATTTGGTATAAGAGTTTCACAAACTTTGGATCCTCATATCTTAGCCTCCTGAGTAGCCTCCTGAGTAGGATTGCAAGTGTGAACCACCAGTGAATGCCCAGTTCAGATTTTGAAATCTTATGGTGTGAAAAGCTCAGTTAGAAAGGTGTTAAAAGGAGAAAGACCTCAAGGAGGTCACAGCTTAAGATGAGCTTTGTATAACAGCTAAAGGAGAGCACAGTAGAATAAGTGTGACTCTCACAGAAGGCTCAGGGAAGCCAGACAGCAATCCTTCTCAATGTCTAAGAAGCAAAATAAAACTGGGCTGGGAGGTCAAAGCTTACCTAGCATGTAGGAGACCCTGCATTTATTCAATCCCCAACACTTATTATTATTATTTTTTGTTGGTCGTGGGGCTTGAACTCTGGGTTTGGGCGCTGTCCCTGTGCTCTTCAGCTCAAGGCGACCACTCTACCACTTGAGTCACAGTGCCACTTCAGGTTTTCTAATGGTTTATTGGAGATAGAAGTCTCACGGACTTTGGGCTGGGAAGTTGGCTCAGTGGTAGAGTGCTTGACTTGCATGCCTGAGGCCCTGGGTTCGATTCCTCAGCACCACATAAGCAAAAAGAAAAAAGCCGGAAGTGG